ATATGCTTTAGCATGTAATCCTATTATGATTCTACACATAATCGATTACCCAGACGTGCAATTTCTGTCTACCGACTTCTGAAGCAGAAAAATCATTCTTGATAACTATCCGCGCAATGTGACAATATAAATTTTACGATGCCGATGAATTACGATTTAAAACAAAATAAAGTGCGTCTATCAACTTTCTACGCAGTTCTGAATAGTCCACAGTACATTCTCTATAACACAATCAGAGAAAAGATTTTCAGCTTGTCTCCTTCCTGGTCTATATTTCAAAGAAAAGCTATAAATGGATTAAGTTTTATGGGCAGTATTCGTTAAGCGCCACAGGGAAGTTTAATTTAACAGGACAGAATGCGTTCAACGTGGGCATTTTCCTGCTATTGTAGACATGGCCAATTTAGAAAATTGTAAGCCTTAAAGAATTATTAGTAGAAAAGGTAATGCCAATATGGTACAATTGGCTAGTGTGTGCTTCTGTCAGTTTATAACAACATAATTTCCATCTAAAAAGCAGCTATTTCTATCTAATTTATCGTTTGGTAACACATGGATTTCATAACTCGTTTATTTTGCGGCAGTTGGTCGAATGTCCGTATCATAAAGTGGTAATAGGCGTCTAATTTTAGTGTTTTCGACGACCTAGACTTTTGAAATTGAATTACCACGTTCCAAGATGTTGTTTTATTGAATGTAGTAATATTGAGAATGTTACATTACGCCTTTGTTGCTGTATTAAATCTTACGTTTTACTAGCACGTTATACAACTGAATTATGTCAAGATGCAATTTTGTTGAACTGTGGGCTGATACAATTTAATTTGAAGTTGGTAAACAAAACACGAAGGTCTACACATGTAGATACAAAGATAATAATATAAATACATAGTATACTAAACTAAGTGTAAGTGGCATTTTAAAATAAAAAACAGAAAATGCAAGTCGATTGAATTCAATGAATTGTTTACTATTATTATTTTTTTCTTATTAATTTTATTTGATTCTAATTTCATTTTATCACATATCAGCATAATAACTCATTCATCAATATAATTACGGTTCTGGTAGTAGTAGAAAAATTTAACCATTGGTCTCAGTTTTAGACAAAATAAATAATGTCAAAATAATTACTTCTGTCGTCTGTCAGAAGTCAATTTAATCAGTCATTTGAATTTTGTAACTGCCTTTCTATTAAGGCAAGTATCGATTGGAAAACCATAAGGAGTGACATTGCATTCTGATTTAATTTTTTTAGAGATATTTGCATTGGCATGCGCTACAAATGTTTTGACTATAAATTCAGTTCTTAATTGGGCTGGATATAAAATACTTAGAATTGTTTAGACTGTAAATAATAACTCTAAATTCATAAAATATCCATAGATTTATAAGAGTTATACGCGCCAATTAAATTAATACTATTAGATTTTTCTATTGTCGATTTTCCATTATCGTTTATTTTAGTTCGTTCTACTAAAAACATCTGACCCATAATAATAAATATGTGGGAAGCCAATCATTACAAGAAAGATCTGATAATGTGGAATAGCATTTTGTGAATTATCAAATTGCGCCAACACGGCGTCGATATTTCTATTAAAAAGTCTGGTAAGTCACACGATCACTTGAAATATTGAGTCATTCTTTAATCATACCCACGTCGGATGAAAAAAGCAATTCATCGGCTAATAATTGATAAACGCTGCTTGTAATTATCGATTTAGTTAAATCATGAGAAGAATAAGTAGAAATAGAAATTTCTGATTTTATAATTACATACACATTCGTTCAGTAATCAATGAGAATGTAGAAACCAGAATGATATGGACTTTGCTCTGATCTTTTCCTAATATAGTGCTATAAATTCTAATTTCATAATAGAGTTACGTTTCCGTAGGACAATATCTTAAGAGTCCATTAACAAATATTTCCAAAAAAATCCACAAATGTCTGCTGGTGACTGACTGTACCTACTCCTTTTAGTTCGAAGGGCCTCACAAGAAGTATTTATACTCCATAAAAAAATGACGAAAATATGTTAACATAAAAAAGTAGACGATAAAGATGCGTGCAGCGTTAATTGCTCTTTGGGGCTCGTGCTGCCAGGGCAGAAACTGACTCTGACTGACTGACTCACCCAATTTATCTTAATTACACCGACTACACAAATACCATGTTAAGAGGATTACAGGCTAATAGGGAGGTTTTACAAGGGTTTCATTTTGATAAAAAAAATCAAGGTTAAAACACGATACTGAACGATATATAAGGAACACACCAATGCAGGACCGCTTCTTTCCCAACGGGGTATAAATGAATAAAACTCAAAAAATAGTGATTATAATATTTTTAATTCTAATTTATTTATCATGAGTTATTTTTGGTACGAAAATCCACAATTTAATAATTAACTTTTCATTTTCATAGTAATTTATATCTGATTTATTTTGTTTATAAGGACTAAGTACATAAAAATAAAAAAGTTTTTAATGATAATTTTGATGTTGAAAATGTGAGACAAAATCTCCAGGGCAATACATCATTATTTGAAGAATTTTATAAAATCTTTAATATTTCCATACGTTTCGACAAACCCTATACCATTTTCAGTGGAATTGACTTGAGTGTTCTTATTCAGACTAGTACTTGTCAATTCAAATAAAAATATAGATTACAATACTACAGTTTATATTTAAACTAACGTTCTGTTCCACGAATTTCGATAAATTGTGTATTTTGTTCTTTTGTTATCTTTTCGAATATTTTTAGCATCATATAACTTTTTCTATTTTTATGCCCACGTTAAAAGAATTTTGTTCACGAATATCGAAACAGAGATTAATTATGTTTATTATTTTACAATTTTCCTTGTTTTTGGGCGTTCCTCGTCAGATAATTCAGTCTGAGGTATTTATGATCGCTAAAGGGAAGTCGTTTAAGTCATAATACGTCCAGAAGTCGATGTTTCTTTATTTCTCCGCCTAGGCAGCAAGTTTTTTTAATACCCTGGGATAAGCTGCCGTTTTGTAGAATGTGTTTATGTTTCTATATTGTTTTTATGTGTTTTTATGTGTCTCTGACTGACTCTTGGAAAATAAAAGGAATATAAAGATGTGATAACATGGCGCTCGAAGTGCTTTGAAATTAACTTTTAACGATTGGTTTTTATGTGCCAAAGTAATATATGTGAACGCTATTTGAATATTTTGACCAGTTTTAGTACTGATTTCAATGTATGTTAATAGCTTTTAAACTGCAATTATTTTTAACAGTGATTTTAAGTAGCTATTCTTGACAAGGTACGATTTACGATAAAAAAAAATTAATAACCTACATATATATACATACATAGATATATATATATATATATATATATATAATATTAATTAATTTGATAATGGTTAAAAAGAGAAGCGTGCCTCTCGAATCTTTTGAATCTAGTGAATATTTTTGTAAGTTTCTCGTACGTTAAGAAGTTTTCAGAAACGGTGTGAAATGATCATATATCATGTCTCAGGAAAGCATGCAAATCAATCTCTGTGAGTACTATACGGTTGTCTTGTTTATAGTCAGATCGTTTATGAGATATAGACATAACTCCTTTGTAACAGGCCGAGAGTTTGTATCTTGCATTATTTTATGCATTCCTCTTATTGGATTCGAGGACTACGGGTACACATTTTAGCATTATTCTACTATTTTCATAGATAGATTACATATTATTAATTCACGTCGGATGATTCGAAAGTCTACCTTACTGCATCTACTTAAAGATGTCATATTAAGATAAAACATGGAATGCGATTTAAGAAATTTGATACATTGGCATAAATGCAATGAAAGTTTGATGCAAATGATACAGTCAGGTAAATCTTTTTTCATATGTAATCGTTGTGATCACATATTTCAATAATCAAGTTACATCAAAAGTTTAGTGTTTTATCGATTCTCTTTCAGATTATTATTTCTAGTTGCGCAAATTTTCCTCTCCTACTCCTGGTTAATCTATTTCGCTTCGGTTAAAGTAATGGTCTGAAATCACGATCCGCAATTGAATCGAATCAAAGATGCGTTAATTCATCACGAATTCATCTCGTTGGCAATCAGCGCACCCACGCCGAGATGAATCTAATCGTAAGCAACTTGAACAAATGAAAAATTATTCTGTTGCAGTCACTACACCAGTCTTATCATGTGTTCTATTCATGGAGATTCTCGTATAGGTCAAATGTCACTCATTGCACTTATTTGTGCCAAGGCGAGAATTGGCCATATTTGGAAACACGCAGAAATACTAATATTTTTAGGCACAACTAGTTAAATCAGATAATGTACTATTTCAACTCAATTAGCACCTGATTCTGATAGGTAATTCAAGTGGTTTTCTCAATTCTTCTCTAATTCAAGTTCCAAAAGTGTCCTTCTTTGGAATAACCTTTGCTATGTGTGATTGATTGGGAACCGATTACAACACTAGATAATCATTTATCCACACGTGCATTCGCATTTGAATAAAATTTGCTATTAAATGATATTTATTAAATTGACTTTACAATATATAGCGACAGCATACGTTTTTAAGGGTTACAGCATAGTTATAAATACAGAAACACTTTTACATTAACGCGATTTTCTATTTCACAATCGTGAAGGATTTACATCGTGGAGCTTATGTGGATAAATATTTTATTTATTATCGGTCGGCTGTATTGTGTGTATTATATATACAAATGCTTGCGTATATTCATATTTTATGAGTTTTGGACAGATATCTATGGCCGCGTGAAATTGTAATCCTATTATGGAAAGCAATTGTATTAAATCAAATTGTAATTGCTTGGAGCTTATACTAGATTTAAAGTTAAACGAATAAAGCAGACTTAGATAGACACTTCTGCTTAAGATAGTTTAATTATTAATAGCATGTTACAAATGTTAGGTTAATTGCGCGAGGTTTCGATGTTAATCAATCGCATTATCGCATTATTTATACTCACATGGAAGTAGAGATGTACTATTCTGGTCTTGCTCGGAGCGCATATCTCGTCCTCTCGGCAGCATCCAGCGTCTTCTCCGCACCTGTGCAGCAGAGTGCATCGCGGCAGATAACTTTTGGCGGCTGAATTCCGATGTTCGCTCCTCACGTTGATAACACGCGGCAGCGGCACTCCGCAGCGCAGGGCCTTGTGCATGCGCTGCGCGTGTGCAGTCGCGCGATCCACCACGTCCTTACCTGGAATAGATAATGGACAATTTTTTAATTTATAGTAATCGCAAAAATGGAAAATGGATTTTTTTGCTTATCTTAAACGTTTCAGAGGTTTCTGAACATTTTTGGCATACTTTAGAAAAATGGATGTATGTGTGTAAGTGTGTGTTCGGATACAAATTTTCGTCGACGATTTCGAAAACATGGATTAACCGATTCGAAATATTAGGTGTACTAAACAGCGGAGAAATGATTGGATTATGCAGATCTTGCAGCTTATTAGAATGAGCTGAGTTGATCTTGTTTTTATTTTATCATATTAAAATCATCCTGCGATTGTAAGACTCTAATTGCTGGTCAGGATGCATCTGTCATCATTTTGAGGAGTTTTGATTGGGTTCGCTATTTCAATGCTAAATTGTATTTGCTAAGGCAACTCCAGAGCCTTTATATACCAAATCGACAAATCGACAAATAAGTCAGAAGGTAATTAAAAAATATTCTGAATGATTATTATATACCCAATGCAATGTATATTGCTATTGGACTCGATAGGCTAAGCTTATTTTGCGATCATCTTGTTTTTCATCCCATTGGAAGCAATTTTACTTCTTAAATAATATATATTTTTTAAAGTATTTTACTTTGTCTTGTAGCGATCATGATACTCATAAATTACAAATTTATTGAAAAACTTGAAATTAATATATAGGCAGAATATTAATATAGCGGAACATCAGAATAATTATATTTAGATAATCATATTATGATATTGAAATGGGTTTGATAAAAAAGGTCAAAATTGATGGACTACAATATATGTACCGAAGATTTTTTGAAATGTGTCCAAATTTTCAGTCTAAAAATGTTCAAAATTTGCAAAATTTATGAAATATAAAAAAGAGCAAAAGAAGATGTTCTAATATAGAACACATGAAGTTTCTGCATCCATATTGACATGTTTCTAATCCGTTTTATCTAAGTTCCTTATCTCAACTCATACAATAAATTAGATGTATTGCTATTACTTTAACCAACTCGTTCAATATATTATAGTTGACTTTCATATAATTTTCATCATGAAAAATTTGACATCACAACTCGTAGTGACTTGGAATTTATTAGACACCTTGGCGTATTTTATATGCACATCGTTCTAAATTATATTCAAACTGGTCCAATATGAACATGATGGAATGGTGTTAGAGCACTCTCGCCTGGTTCGATCACAGATCGCTTATTAACGACTGAACTGCATCGCACGAAGGAACATATATGCTAAATGCATCAACCGAATATATAATTTCGTTCCCATAATATAGTGATTAAGATGAAATATTGGATTTATACTTTCATCTGGTGCAATATTCATAAATGAATCGACGGGCCGAGTAATAATGATTTTATGGGCAAAATTTGTTATTTCTTAACCCTGACATGAAAACGATTTAGAAAATTTAGTTGATATATTCCAATTAATTTTATTGTTGTAACTTTTATTTTTATTACTTACGAAGCATAAGCATTTCGCGATGCGAATGATGTCTTTTATTTTTTTGCTGAAGGCGCATAAAGTCGCGGTCGACATTTTCGCTGGTGCCCAACTGCCTCCATTTATATTCTGTCAGTGAAATGCCACTTCTTGGATTATATTCCATCATTTCTGCATTCATATTATCCTAAAACAAAAATAAAAAAGATCAGTTTATTAATACATTTTTTAAATTGTCAGTACTATCTAAATGCTGCTGGATTGAAAGTGTTATTTAGTTAGTTCGTTAAGAAGTTGTAGGATATATCGTTAATTTTAATATGCTTTGGTAAGAAAATTTTATACTTATTTTGATGTATTAGAGAAATCGTCGTTTCAGCCAATTTTTAAGTCAACATCATCGACATGCATACAGTCAGTAAGTGAAGACTTGGTGGATACAACTAATTGGCCGAACATAAATTACATATTAAATCTCAATTTCCCTTTTCCACAACTTTGTTTCATACGACTTTCAGTATTATGCAATTATTATTAGTAGCGAATTAATCACGACGATGTTTGCGTGCGGTTTTGCAATAAATTTTCAATTATTTTCAAATTATCAACAGAGCTCAAAATATCCTGGTTGCGTCCTCTGGTCTATCGGACCGTCACGCTTTATCTCTTGAATGCATCTGTAAAATCTAATCCGAGAATTTTCATGGAGCAGAAGAGAATTATAAATAACTAATTATAAAGTCATTATTGAGTCGCAGTACTGATGCTCAGAATGATTCCGATTGTTTTTGTTGTGTTTGTCGACCGTAATTACCATTAAGGCATAACATCGCTTTGTAACAAACACCGACATATCACAACGGAAACCGTTTTATAAACGATAATATCAAATGCACTTGTATGTAAATAATAAAAATATGAAGATATAATATAATTATCATCGCTTAATAAATAATGTAATCGAACAAGTTTCACGGCTAACAAGGAGAAGCACAGGTTCAGTCGTAGCATAAAAATTGGTGCCCTGTCGTCTTAACTAACTTTGCCGGTATATGTAAAATAGTAGTACTTTCGTCACTAAAGTTATGTTATAAAATTTTTAATACAGTTTTTTCTACGTATAATCTAAGTCCATACTTTTTTTTCTAATGAACAGGGTGCACCTATAATTTCCTCTCGAGCCGCACTTCGTCTTCAAGTGCTCGAAGTTGTTCCATTGTTCCCCGTCATTATTTCGTGAGTTTTGTGTTGTTACAAACCATTATTTATATGTACACTAGTTCATTAAACAATGAGAAACAATATTCTCTTAATGAATAATTAACCTGCGGTCTTCTTCAGTGTTTGTTACGTCTTCTCTCGCCGAACGGGAATAGTTTTGTATTATGAAGGTGAGTAGTGTTCGAGGTTTATTTTGAATTCTTGTGTCGCGGTCGGTTATTGAAGACTTCACCTCGCCCGATGGGAATATTTTGCATTAAGTTGTGCTTTTGTCTGAATGTCACATATAAACTAAGGAATAAGTCTGGAAAATTCATTACCTTCCATATTATATTTATTTACCTTAAGAACTTTTTGAATTCAATTTAAATTTTCTTAAAACCTGAATACTTAAACTTTATTTGTTTTTATGTTTTTTATACAGGTTCAAATGTTAAAAGACTTCGTGTTTTTTTTTGTAAATTTTCATAACAATATATGAATGTTTTGGCCGAGAACGTAACTTCAACAAACTCTGCATACAAACAGTGAGACAAAACAATAATAAAGTGAGCTTTATATTTAACTTACGTGAAACCACAGCGATCTCTACATAAATATAATGTAATATCATTTTCATTATTTTTGAATATTACCTTGTGTCCGTTAAACTCGTTTTCATATTTTCTTGTCTATTATGAATGCGTCAATAAGTCGTGCATTTTGACATATTGAACTAGAATCACTTGCCCCCGTTGCATTTATAATTAATTTCGCAATTGATATATAGAAGTAATGCTTGCGAATATGATAATTACTCGCATGCTTATTTCTAATTAGATGGAAGCACATGATTTATTATTATACGGTTCAAGTACATATAACAACAACCCAGCCCAAGAGCTATCATGTGCACGGAATTTCTCTGAAACAATATCCTTATGACAGGTTTATTTAATGTTAAAGATTCTTAACAAATAAAAGTTTGGCATATAAATTAATTATTTAATCATGGTACTTTTTAATCGTATCTTTTGATCAATGGATATGAGCATTCAAATGTTACCCTTTCAAGTTTTATTCTTTTATATGACAGTTACTTTTGGTGGCCTCCAGCCTATTATAATTGAACATCAGTAGTGCTCATTCTTCTTTTTCTAGTTAGTGCGTTCTTTGGGTACGCTAATGATTCCTTTGTAAAAACTAACGAACACGCACAAGAGCACCATATATGCAAAACAAACTGGCGTATTTTTTTATTTAACCCCGGGTTAGCAAATAATTCTTTGAACACAATTCAGCGAATCGAGAATTATATTCCCATTAGTAGAATGGTTTTGCATTATTTTTTATTAAGAAATGTGTTATTCAACTTTTTTTAAACCATCACTAGTTGCTACCGTCTCATGCTGAAAATTTACTGTATCGTACTTTTTTCTCGGAGTTGCTTTAAATTTCAAACATGTACATTTTGATAGACTTATTCTTTCTGTCGAACACTTGTTTACTACATGAACGTTTTAGGAATATTTAACGATCTATTTAAGGTTTATATCTATTTTTTGTAATCGTCTGAGTTGAATGTTTATAATACTTTGTAGCGTTTCCTTTAAGTCGTTATTGATGCTGTTTAACATAAAATGCAAATGAATAGCAAGAGAAATTGAATTATTTTTATCATAGGTAAAAAATCATAGGTAATATATGTACCATTGGTATCTAATATACTTTTCTTAATTATTGATCAAATAGCATATTTGTAAATGGTTTATTTAAAGAAAAAAGATGTTTTTTAAATTATGTTTAAAATAACTTAATTTAATGTTATGTTATGTTATTTAGGGAAATAGAAAATTTGTTAATAGGATTTATTTATATATCTCTAAGCCCTCAGACTCAAATAGACGATTAAAAACTAAAACAACAATATACTTAATACAAACGTTTATAACAAGGAATTGACTCTTTCGTTAACTTCGACTTCTTACCTATCGCGTACAAATTATTTAAATGCATTCGTCGTTCAGAATAAGTTCGTGAGTCAATTAGTAGTGATAGTCAAAGCTCCAGTATGTTTTTCCGAGAACATCACCTGGCCTGGCCTGGTCTCTATCTCATTGTCAGAATTGGAGGAGTCGTAGGCGCCACTCGTGCGAATGCTCGTCGAGTCCGTTTCGTCGCCTCTGAGCGTCTAGCTCTGATCGGCCGTTGAATGCATAATCGTAGGGACCCCACAAGCGACGAAAGACGTCGCATGCATCGCGCTAAACCACGGATAGGCACAACGCACAACGCGGAATCAGAATGCCCCGATGTCCCGATGATTTATAACGCAATTTCGTTTACAGAATATATTATATCGGAATTGACAATTCGATAGCTCTTCGAATGCGTCGCGAGCCTAAAGTACCTGTTCGAGAATTTCATAACTCGCGGTACAAACTTATTCTACGTACATTGTCGATCGGTTATGCGGTTTTCCCACTTTGTTAGGTACTTGGATATTGTTTATTTAGTACCTCGAATGGACAACGGAATAACGTTTCCTTATTAGATACACTTTGACTCTAGTTGATTTAAGCACTCTTTGACCACGGAAAGTCATAGCTTGAAACATTCATTTAATCCGAATTTGAGGCAAAAATATAAATTTCTAGCATTAATATATTAATTCAGTTTCAAGTTTCAGCAATATTAATAAGCAAAATTTATCAAATTGAAATTTTATACTGTCAGTTTATGTATAGGTATGATAAAAATTAGAAAATAGATTTGTTAAGTTATCTACTGTAATATCGATCATAGAAGGCTCATTATACAAATATGCATGCACCCACATTTTCAAATAGCCTTTATTTAAACGCCTCAATTTAAGTCAATTCACGCTTTGATGTAGATTATTATAAAAAGCTGGCTGGATATCTATCCAATTATTGAGTCGTTTGATTGAATTAATACATAATTGCACCTTAATCTGCAAAACGCGACGTTGTTGGTACGACAGTAATTCGATCAACTATCATTACTTTGCGAGACGTAGTGCTGTCGGCAGTGCTGAATAAATCGCAAGAAATGAACTACCTCGCAATTACATTGCTGATTTTTCAATAGGCCGGCCTAGAGCTCTGATATAGACGTCATAGTATCTTGTACTAATATTAATACTATGTTATTATCAGAATAAAGCTTTGCGTGTACCAACCCATCATTACGAGTTAGAAATTAATAGCTCTATTGATAAAGCATTGTTCATTGTTGTCTGTGATAAATATTTTTATATTCAGAAGTAGGAAATATTAATGTGATTGGTTCAATAACTGTAGTAAGATACACTTGATACACTTTCAAAAGATTTAAATTAAAAATATGAAGGAAAATCAGACAAAAGAAAGATCGTTTTATACATAGACATGTTTCGAGCGTATTGACGATTTTTATCCTTTCTTACTCTTATCATTTATTGATTATTGTCGCGCTGGTTGATCGTAAACATTCTTCTAATTTTATTTCGTACTTTATTTTTTGTGAAAGCCCAGGAAAGCTATACGGAAATGAGCAAATGTAGATGTTCAATAAACGTATGTATATTTGCACTTTGTGAAAGGTGGTCGTACCACCCATGCGATCAAGCAGTGGTTGGCGCGGCGTCTTAATTATAGGCTCAGAACCTGTAAACAGAAATGCTGGCAGTCTCAGGTCTCAATTTATGATTCCATTGTGATGAATCGATGTGGACACTTAGAGATTTATCGACACTGTGCACTGATCAATTACACACTCCCTGTTTTTGCGCGGAGATATGCAAATAAGTTGTTTTCTCGTTTGTTTTTCCAATATGAGCCCAGCCAACCGCCCGTGGCAGACAAAGTGGCTGCACTTCGTGGCATTTTCAATTAATTAGGTCGCCGTTCTGACCCGATCGTACAATTTATCTCCATTCAAAATTAATTTTATTTTCAAATTGCACTTGATATTAATTGAGATGCT